ATTATAATAAATATATACTATAGTGATATAGAGCATAGATAGAAGATAGATAGATAGATGAAAGATATTTTCGATATCAGTGAAATTGCTGATTTGCAGGATTTTAATGAAGTTAGATCAATGGCTCAGCTTAGCTGTGCCTCTATAGTAAGAGCTTCTTCTCTTTGACTCCATTGACCCTGTAAGCATAAATTAGAGAGTTGGTGTAACCCTAGACGAAATAAGAGAAGGCTGTCAAATCACATAATAGCGGCGCTTGACTAGAGAATGAGACTGAGTTGTGAAACTTCGTTTAGAGTTGCAATGCTTGCGCTGACTTGTTATAAGCACACCTCGTTACTATCTGTCATTACTATCCACCAGCCGCAATCATACTTCCTCATATTATAATGACTGATGACTCTACAGACTCAAATACCGCCTCCCCTCAGTTTCCTCACCCAATTGCCCAATTGATCGCCGTCAAATTGTCGTTTTTTTGTGTGTCTTCTTTAATGTTGTCAGCCAACAGAGTCTAAATGCCGCCTTAAGATCTAAATTATGCTTAAACGGAACGAATGCTGAAATTCTCCACTAACAAATGAGTCAAATGTTTCAGTAGCATTTCTTAATTAATTCCATATATTTAAAGGCAGTGTTTCACGATTAAATGGCAGAGTTTATTAAATATTCCATAGATCTTATCAATAACTAGAAATGATACTGAATTATAGCTATTGGCAAAGGTATCTCTGTTCTATGGACACGCTTTAAATATAAGAAATTATGTGGACAAAAACTTGTTGATTCTATATGAAAACCAATAATATAACTAGGTTTATATCTATATACATATATATGTATAGCTGCTCCCACTTCATAGAAACCTAATCAACTACATCTAAACACAAAGCTCCGAGATTTACAATTGAATTCACATTGCTCAGCTTAATATTCCCAAGTAGCTTGCCATGTCGCAGAGCATTTGGAAATTTCACTTTCATGATTTGAATACAATTAATGCGAGAACTAAACACATTTGCTGTTGCTCGGGCAAGGGAATTTAATGAAAATTTGCGCAAAAGCTACTTAAGGCTGAGCTTCGGCATGCCGATGCTACATTCGAGTGCCTACATATTATCCTTTATGTTCTGCTTCAGCAGGGCACGCGCTCAATAATATAATAATAATTAGTTAGTGCTTTGAGATGCAATTATATTGAATAGAGATGGCAAAGCCTTAACATTGTGAATGGTATTACAAGTCATGCATATGCGCTTTGTCCACAGCCAGGAGCCAGCCAAGATGGTCGGTCAGCAGCCTGACACAGACACTTAATCTCCACTCGAATGCGACTGCAGTGAACACTTAATGCTTAAATGAATTAATAAGCAGACAAAAAAGAAGCACAAACATGGATGCAAAGCTCAACAACGAACACGACGATTGCGAATGCCCGCAGGAGCACATCAAACATCAACAGGAGCAGCAGCAGCAGCAGCAGCAGCAGCTGGAGCAGCAGCGGAAGCAACACCAACAACAGCAACAAGCGCTCCATCAAAGCTGTCGGAATGATTATATGACAATGCTGCATTTAGTTTTCCGGCTGCTGTTGGCTGGCTGCTGCTGCAGGCTGGCGGCGTGCTCCTATCTGGAGCCGGACGAGCTTATACACGAGCTGGATCGTCCGGTGCCGCTGACATCGGTGCAGGGTGTCCTCAGCAGGCAGGCGATGCTGCCCTGTGATATAACGCCGCTCGAACGGGACGATGCCGTCTATATGGTGCTCTGGTTTCGCGAGGGCGACGGCGAGCCCATCTACAAGTGAGATTTGTGTTAGCCAACAACTAGATGTGTGATTTGAACAACAACGGATTTTTCTCTCTCCCTCTCTGTCTCGCAGCTTTGATGTGCGTGGCCGTCAATTTGGTCAGGCGCGTCTGTGGTCGTCGCCGCTGGCGTTTGGGACACGCGCCCACTTCAGCAGCACCTCGCATCCTGCTCAGCTGAAAATCGACAATGTGCGCATTGAAGATGAGGGCGTTTATCGCTGCCGTGTGGACTTTCGTAACTCGCCCACTCGTAATCTAAAGATAAACCTAACTGTTATTGTGCCACCGGATAGACCCATTATCTACGAGCCCAATCGACATGACAAGACCAGCAACGTGGAGTCCTTTAACGAGGGCACCGATATCGTTCTGGCCTGCGAAGTTACAGGCGGTGAGGCTCCCACTCCCACTTCTGTTCCTCCTCTATGCATATATTTATATATATATTTAATTGCCCTAATGGGTTACAGGTCGGCCGCGCCCCAACGTTACCTGGTACTTGGATAACACGGTCATCGATGAGTCATTCGATCAGCGGCCCGATGGCAAAACCATTAACCATTTATCCTATCCCAATATTGGAAGACAGCATCTAAATTCGCGACTGGTGTGCGTCGCCAGCAATACGAATCTGACGCCGCCCAATAACAAGGTCGTTATACTGGACATCAACTGTAGGTCGCAGCACTAGGTCATTGCAAAGCTATAGGCTCATTCTCCCACTCTTTCTCTCTCTCTCTCTCTCTCCCCCCGTGCTTACAGTAAAACCTGTTGCCGTGCACATCCTGACCAAGGATCGCTTTGTATCCGCGGATCGCACCTACGACATTGAGTGCAAAAGCTCCGGCTCCAAGCCGGCGGCCATAATCACCTGGTGGAAATCCAATAAGCAGCTGAAGAAACAAACCAAGAACGTAAGTATCTAGCAGCAAAATAGCAAAGCCAAAAGCAATCAATAGATACGAACAACTAAGCTAAACGCTTCCATTAACAACAATAAGCAATAATTATTAATAATGTGGAAACAGGTGCTTTTACCTGCATATGTTTTGCTTAGTTGAGGTCATTTACAATTTTTATAACTACAAAACTTGATTCCAATTACACACAATATTTATAAATATCTCAATATTTTAGGCTCTTATAAACAATTCTGTATATACTTATATATCGACGTAGACATATGTACAACATTTAAACAAATTACTAATTAGCGCTATCGAGCACTGCCTTAAGGCCGCGGCAACATAAACAAAGCATAATTGATTCAAACTACATACATAGATAAAGCGTTCAACATTTTCGGGTACACTTAGAGAATGAAGGAGCTATATAGACTAGATATTGATTTATGTATGTAGAAGCATAAAGTTGAGCACTCGCTAATCAGCCTGCGAGGGTGGTCTCAAAAATTGCGTAGTATCTGGTCTTATTATTAAAAGTAATGTAAATTTATTAAATTCCTTGAAAAAAATATATAAATTAAATAATAATAGTAATAATTAAATAAAAAATTACAAATAGGCTATTTTTTTTTTTAATTTGAAATATTATATTTTCTCTCTCTCTCTCTTATTTTCTCATTGATAGACTGAACCGAACAAAATGAATTAATTAATTCAAAGGCATAAAATTAAATTTGTTTATTTTTCATGACATTTAAATGGATTTTATTTCCAAATTTCATAGACTACCCTCGTATATATTTACATATTTAGTATACTAAATTTTGAATAAAAAGTTTGGTAAGCATAGACTGAACGACGAACCGACCAATTTAAGAAGCACAACAGAAACTTTGAATAAGTAAAAAATAATATGTGCTTAAATTATTTTAATTTGTTTCAAAAACTTTTAAGCTAACCTCGTGCACATTTTCTGCTCTGATTTATGCAGCTTTTTCTGTTAAGCAAATTCGAAATTAGTAGACTTAACGAGTTTAGCCTATACTTTATAGCTCAACATTTTGAAGCAGCTTTTAGCCTATTAAGAATTCATTGTTTGAAAAGATAAGCCAAATATTTCTAGTTAGATGGAGAAACAAATCAATGTCAGATATCTCACATATATCTAGCTATCAATCTATCAATTTATCTATCTCTGCAGACAGAATGTAAATTTCATTCAAAACTGAATTTTGTTTTAGTGGAAAAGAACGAAAAATATGTAAAATTATCGTGAAGGACTGTCGCTATAATGATGACTCTCAGTGTATATCACACACATTCAACCAACCCTCTCTCTCTCTCTCTCATTAGTCAGGGTATAAATTCGTTGTGATTTCGACTTGAGCTACCGTTAGCTGCTGATAGGTTTATTGTCAAACCTTATTGACTTCAATTGAATGCTGCAAAGATAGATTAATAAATAATTAATAACGCTCGGCAGTTTGGCATTTCATAAGTTCGACAGAAATCAACGAAACGACATCATTTATGGACGAGCTCAGCTTTGGGATGTTGCTAAATTTGAATAATTTGTTCCGTTAGTAAATATGTTGGCTCATTATTTATTGATTTGGGCTATTCGGGGCGTTAAAGGCCAGGAGGATACGCTCTAGCTCTGTGTACTTATAATTGCTGCTATTTCCCTGTACATAGATTGACGGTCAGGCGTTAGTCGTTCGTCGTTCGTTGTTCGCCTTTCGCTTTCTCGGTTTCTCGCTTTCTCGGTTTTCGCTCTCCGTTTTTCGGTATCTATTTCTGTTTTGGTTGAGCTTTAGCTCTTGCCTCAGCTTTCTTTTTCATTATTCATTTCCTAATGGACTCTGTTTGCGCTTCTTTTTTAGTTTAATGAGCCAGACAATCAATCCCTAAGTATACTGACGTTCACACCCACCCGGGACGACGATGGCAAATATTTAACATGTCGGGCAGAAAATCAATTCATCGAAGGCAGCGCCATCGAGGACAAATGGCGTCTCATTGTGCACTGTAAGTGGCCGGTTAGGTATTTAAGGACCTAGTTGAAGCTGACGCTGAAGCTGCCCGAGGTGGCTAAGTGGGCCAGCTAGGAATTCTAATTACCACAGATTCCAGCTGAGATATGAGACGATTCTGTTTGCATTTCGCAGATCAACCCACTACGATACTGAAGATGGGCTCCTCGTTGAATCCGGACGACATCAAGGAGGGCGACGATGCCTACTTCGAGTGCATTGTACAATCGAATCCGAAGCCCTACAAGATGTCCTGGTTTCACAATGTAAGCTATAATTATTATGTTTGCCATTCATTGATGAAGCGACTCACGCAAACCTCAACCACAACCACTTCACACACACGCACACACACACACACACACACCCGCAGGGCAAGGAACTGCAGCACAATATCTCTGTGGGCATCATTCTGTCGGATCAATCGCTCGTCCTGCAAAGTGTCTCGCGCGCCTCGGCCGGCGCCTACACCTGTTTGGCTGTCAACTCGGAGGGCAAGGGCCTCAGTAATCCGGTCACATTGCGCATACGCTGTAAGTAAATGGCCAGACAATCTGTGAACTGCGAGTTCAAGAGGGCCTCGGCCACAGTTTTTGGCACTGCCTGTATCCTCATCTATGTAATTTACAATTTAATCCTTGAGCTTGAATGTCTCTTAATGCATTTGGGCTCACCGGGGACGGGGGCTTCACGGCTCCTTTGGCCGCACTCCAATCTGCAACGCAGCCAAAGTTGAAGTGAGCGTGGGCGTGGGCGTGGGCGTGGCCGTTGTCGTGGGCGTAACTGGGTGTAAAGTACCGCCATCTCTTTGTGCCACCCTCGCCGCTCCCCCTCCACGTTAATGACCAAGATTATGGCACAATGAATGCATGGCCTGGACTCTTGGCACTGGCTGCGGGTTTGGCACTGCCTCCGACTCTGAATGGTTTTGTGTATTTCAAATGAGTGTGGATGGTAACTGCAGCAGCAGCAGCAGCAGCAGCCAAAGACCAAAATTAATTCATTGGAGTTTTAAAGACCTTGTCGGCCATATTTGTGTGGTCTATTTAAGCCACTTCCTGCCGGGACATTAAATATTTCAATAAAACGCTTTAATTATTTATTTCGACCCTTAGACGCACCCATCTGTGCCATCGACCACGAGCAGCTGCTGGGCGCCCTCAAACACGAGACATTGGCACTGAAGTGCGAAGTGGACTCCTCCCCGCCGGCCGACTCCTTCCAGTGGACCTTCAACTCGTCCGGCGAGCAAACAGAGCTGCCCGCCCGCCTCCACACCAGCGAGGTGAGTGAGCTTTTAAATCAACCCACTAATTGCTAGATATTTTAAGATGATTGAGATGCTTAAGATGCTTAAGAGCTTCTCAAAGGATACCCAGTTACGGATTTTAGCTACTTTAATCCATTTGTTAATTTCGAAAATTATTCTCGATTTTTGTCGTTGCAGACGGGCATGTCACGCCTAAATTATACGCCCAGCTCAGATCTGGACTACGGCACCGTTTCCTGCTGGGCCAAGAACTCAATTGGCGTGCAGAAGAGTCCCTGCGTATTTCAGATTGTGGCAGCAGGTGGATAGACATGATGATATACATATATCTAACTGGCAACTACATGGCTATCGAATATTCCGTTTCAGGTCGACCTTTTCCACTGCAAAATTGTACGGTCAGCAACCAGTCGGTGGATTCGCTGCAAGTGGACTGCATTGAGGGCTTCGATGGGGGCTTGCCACAGAGTTTTATGCTCGAATTGGTGGAGCTGAACTCGCTGCAATTGGCCAGGAATATAACAATACACGTAAGCCAACTAACTGACTGACTAACTAACTAACTATTGCATTACATATATATGCATATATATTACTATATTGTATACACACTGCGTGCCATTAGAATAGCGCAACCTTGAAGCTCTCTGTTTGTGATAAATTCCTAGAATTCATTTTCTGTTAAATTCTATTATATTTTTCCTAAAATAAATAAGAATATACTCTGCAAAAGTTTAGTAACTATTTTTTAAAAAGTTTTAAAAAAGAGCTTAAAATAAGTCATCAGAATAGCGCAGCTAAATTCTATTGGGAAAATCTTACTAAGTTTGGCATAACTACAATTTTTTATACATGTTATAAAAGTTACGTTCTTTAAGAAAAATAATACTATAGAGAGTAGGGACAGTACATACGTATTATTTTTGCAGGAAATATAAAGAATAATGACTGATAACTTACTTTAGAGTTACTGTACAAAAAATCGATATAAAATCTAGATAGGCATAGAAAATCTATAATTATTCTTATT